CGTGCTTTATGCCAGTGTTTTAACATCCTATCTTTCAGGTGCTGACAAAAAACGTTTCGCTTATATTTTTTTCACCTGCTCAATTTAATAGAAAAACTTGAAATTGTTTCGAACATCTAAAGAATTTACCTTTTATAAAAAAACAATCTACCCCAGTTTAAAAAAAAAAAAAAATTATATAGCAATCTATACATTTTTCACCTTGACCCACACTATACAATATACAGCGTGTCCCAGTTCCTTCTGACGAAACTGAGGGAATCGATTCTACTCTTCATTTGGAGCAAAAAATGCCCAGGAGAAAATTTTCGGAAAGTTCTCTATTTTGAATATATTCGTCAATTTAGGATTTTTCAACTTTTCACTACCTTACCACATAAAAACGCTTACAACTTCCAAAATGTTGAGACTACAACAAATCCAATTACACCATTTGAAAGAACGCTAAATATGCTGTAAGATACTTCTTTGCAATAATCTGAATGACATAAAATGTTAGCCAATATCAGTTGGAACATGTCAAAATTACCACAGTTTAAACAATGATCATCACAGAATGTATCAGGTAGGGTGTGTTATTGTAAGATAATAATATTAATTAATATTAATATTATATTACAAAGCGAGTTCTAATTGATTTATTTCGACCCCCCTTCAAATTTACCTTAGCTCACGTTTTCGAACATTCAATTGCTATTTTTCAACTATACTAGAACGTTATTTAAAAACCTGGATATATCAACGTAAAGCATATTAGATGAAGAAGTTTTTGTGAAATTTGACAAGTTGTAGGAATTTTTTTGTAACCTCAGTAGAACGTGCAATCATGACCAAAATTTTAAATTTTGTAATTTTGACATGTTCCAACTGATATTGGCTAACATTTTATGTCATTCAGATTATTGCAAAGAAGTATCTTACAGCATATTTAGCGTTCTTTCAAATGGTGCAATTGGATTTGTTGTAGTCTCAACATTTTGGAAGTTGTAAGCGTTTTTATGTGGTAAGGTAGTGAAAAGTTGAAAAAACCTAAATTGACGAATATCTTCAAAATAGAGAACTTTCCGAAAATTTTCTCCTGGGCATTTTATGCTCCAAAAAAGAGTAGAATCGATTCCCTGAGTTTCGTCAGAGGGAACTGGGACACCCTGTATATCCAATCCATATATGTATTTAGTAGTCATTATTGATTAATTATTTAAACTAATTAGACTTTTAATCTAAGGTCTTAGTTGAGATAAAAAGCTAGTGTCACGAGCAGGGTTCGAACAAAAATATGGCAAAAATAGGAAAACTCCGAAAGGTTGTAGGTTGGTGTCCGAGTGGATCAGTCACGATAGGTCAAGTGTTTAGAGCAGCGGCATATTCAGCCGAAGGTTGTCGGTTCGAATCCCGCTCGCGACACTGCTTCTTCATCTCAACTAAGATCTTAGATTAGAAGTATAATTAATTTAAATGTATAGCGTTGAACTTTTCCCAAGTCAACAGTAACTTTTTACAAATGAAATGTAGCCCTTTCGAAGTCGCAAGCAACCCTTTCCAGTCATATTTAACATGTCAATATAAGATAAAAACTATTTCTAAAGCATACATAACTCAATTATTACCTATTTCAAAAACTGTGAAATTTTAAACGTGAAAAAATTTCAAATGTTTAATGTATTGTGGAATGGATCAAGTTGGGTCCCCAGAATTCACTGGGAGAAATGATTGCAATTTTTTTAAAATTTATTATCACAAATGTACAGCAAACAACTTAAATTAATTTTCGCAAAACAATGTTTTTTCTTATTATACATAATGGTCATTTTTTACAAAACTGAAGGAAAAAATTAGAAAAACAAAAAGTTGATTTTTTTCCAGAAAGATTAGTTTTTGTAGTATTTTGTTAGTATTAGTATTTTAATTAGTTCATTTTATTTTTTTTACTTTCTGAGAGAAGAATCCAAATAATTTTGTTCTTCAATTTCGTAAAAACGAATAATAATTTTTATTAAGAAAAACATTGATTTTCGAATTACAATTCACATTCAATTTACATTTGTTTGCTGTATATGTTTGAGCTAATAAAATTTGTCCCGGCGAATTCTGGGGCCCCAACTTCACACATTCCACAGCAAATACGGTAAATGTTTTTCAAGGGTAACAATTGAAATGGAATCGGTTACAATCGAATAAAATTGGTAACAATTGCGTAACACAGTTACATATACTTTGGAAAAGGTTTCAACTCACATGGAAAAGGTTGCATTTGCTTTGTTGGTTGACTTGGGAAAGGTTCAAACAGACTAGTAACTGCTAAAGATCGGTAGAATAAACTATTTGATGAAATAGGATCTAGACCTAACACAGCCAATAAATAAATTAGATGGAAATTAACTTCTGTCTACAAATGCAATTATCAAGTACTTTCATTGGCCAAAAAAAATTAAGTAATGTAAATCCGCCATACAGGAAGGTTTAAGGTTCAACTAACCTTTAGGTGTCGTGGATGAAGGGTCAAACCAATTTAAAAACATTTTGTATACCATTGTCAATTCAAAAGCCATGGGTTACGCCGGGATTCGAACTCAGAGTAGGACACTTAACCACTCGGCCACCGAGGTCCCGTACTTGGAACTACATTGACTATATAAACATGAAAAAGTTATTAGTTCTAGTAAATTTATGCAGTTCAAGAATTATTCTTGTAATCTGTAGTTTTATCACGCCGGTCATGCAAAAACTACATTTTTTATTAAATAACGCACAGGCAAACCAACGAAACGCGTTTTACAAATAAAATCACCCAGAACAGGCTGGACCAGGATGATCGGGAAGGACATCATATTTTATATACTCTTGCATTGTCGCTAGTCGTCGGACGACTTTCGTTACTTCAAAACATCTCTTTCACGTGAATAATTGGAAATACTAAAATTAACATTTTTTGAAGCAGTTTTCTTTTAAAAACAAGCCAAACGCACTAAAATTTGAAGAGGGAGACTATTCGAAATCATGCTAACGGTTTTTTATTGTTCTTGTTGAAATATTGGTAAAGTCGAGTTACCCATTATTAACAATTTAGGGTATTTATTAGTTTTCCGTATTGGTTATCCACTATGGAGATTTATACACTTACTGTTATACAGCAAATTTTATTGTTACAATTTGGTTTTTCAAGTAATTGCATCTTCTATTGTACTTATCATTTTTATTTTTTAACTGTGTTTAAAATTTAAACGAAATTCTCAGACAGGTTAAAAACAATCCTTAACCAAAATAAGTTTGTGATATTGACATTAAAATATAACCGCGAATATTAAATACAAATAGTTAATTACTTAAACAATCATCGGCGGACGTGTTTACATAGTAAATCTCTCTTTTTAACATCCCCCCCGGTACTGGCGCAAATCCACTTGTACATTTCGTTAACGATTTATCTTTGATCATCAAAGAAAGACAGAAAGAGATATAAAGAAAAACAGATAGATAGAAAGAGAGAGGGAGAGAGAGAGAGAGAGAGAGAGAGAGAGAGAGAGATATGAGAGTTAGGGGAAATAATACAGCGACATAAAGAAAGATAGTAATAGTAAAATGTAGTGAAAATGGAAAAAGAAAAAGAGAGAGAGAGGCAAGCTAAGAAAACCTGATAGCCAGGGAGAGGAACAACGACAGTCCAATATAGGTTGATTGAATGAGGTTTTATTTAGAGGAGAGAGAGAGAGAGAGAGAGAGAGAGAGAGAGAGAGAGTACAGAGACTGACACATACATAAAGAAAGAGTCAGCGAAAGCAGACAATTAAATTTAAAAAAAGAAAGAGAAGAGAGAGATGAACAATACAGAGCAGAGACTGAGATATAGAGAAAGAAAGAGACAATGATTGACAGACAATTAAATGGAGGAAAAATATTATAAAAACATAGACCGCTGCTTGGAGAAAAAATGAACAGTGAAAGATAGACAATTAAGATGAAAGACGATTAAGAAGATAATTGGAAAGAGAGCTGTAGAGTTAGAAATAAAAAGATAAAAAGAGAGAGAGAAAAAACAGTAGAGAGAAAGAGAGAGAGACTCAGACATACGGAAAAAAGAAACAGTGTAAGAAAAGAGAGAGTGAGAGATAGATAGAGAGGGAAAAGGAATAGACCGATAAATAGACAAGCGGACAAAAAGATATAACTTCTTTTGGAAGTTTTTTTTTACTTTACTCCTAGACAGAAGTCTTCCTACTTGAATTTTCAAGTCTTTACTACTGCTTTCATTTACAAATTCCTGTCATAATGAAATTATCCGTGACAGTATTATTAAATGAGCAGACCATGATTCACGTTATGACTTCACTTTCATTTTATTGTATATAGTGAAATTAAATGCCATTGACTCCCGATGAAAAAAATACCATTTGACGGAAAAATAAATCATAATCATAACTGACCAAACATGTCACACTGATTTCGACGATTTCAGACAACCTTTGTAATTTAATAATCTGTGTGTATTGCCGTGTAAGTACACTAATCAATAATAACAGTATATGTGCAGGCGATCAAATATTTTAAATAATGTTTGGAATTTACTCGAGAGATTTTAAGGAAAGGTAAATTTTTGGGATCACTTTTTAGAATTTATTTCTGAAATATTAGTTCTTTCATGTTTAACAAATAAATAATAAATTTCTCTAAATAACAATGAACTATGTAAGTTCATTTGTAAATATTTATTGCTAATATATAAACCCATATTGTGAACGTAGGTATAATTTAATCATTTTGAGCTATCGTCGAAGAAAACAAAATCCTGTTTTATACACCCTGTATAAAAGATAAACCGAAAGCTTTTACTAACTTCACAATGGTCGGCTAATTGGTAAAAAAGCATCGCCTTTGTACTAACCCAAGCTTTCGACAAAATATTAGAGTCAAAATAATGAAGAATACAAATCCGATATTGCTCATTGTTTCCAGTTCTTGTCCGGTAAGTCACAACAGAAAAAAATAATATATCACAAACTCACCGTGTATAGAATAAAGTCGACAAGGGAAAGTTATCCGAACTGGACAGCGTAAAGTCACAGAACAAACTGAAGTTAACCACTTACACTATCCAGGGAGAGAGTGGAGATGAATGAGCCCCCCTCCCATCATCATCACTCGGGATTGACCTAGTCTTCTTCATCAACCCTCTCCTGACTCCGGCCGACGTCTCCTTCTCCCGAGAGCCGGCACTTATGAAAAGGAAAGTAGGCCCTGGTATTTTTTAATTTCGGGTTGTTGGCCTAGCCGAAGTCTAGCCTTTTCCTATTTCAATTGTCATAGATTACAGCTATTTTCATATTTCGCCGTTCCCTGTATTTGTCTGCAGAAAAATCAATCTTCATTTCATATAATTTACAACGATTTCTTAATGGTACACAGTCAGTTATCAGGTCTTCTTTTCACCACAAATGGATTCTCAAATAATAGAAAGCTTTCCTTTTTTTATTATCTCGTAGGTGACCTATTAGGAACTATTTTTCTATCCTCGTCTCATTATGTGTGGACTTATGTTTTGAAATGTGATCGTTAATATAAAACTTAAATACCGTCCAATCAAACGAAAAGAGCAGAGAGAGAGTGAGAGAGAAAGAAAGAGCGAGAGAGAGAGAGAGAGAAAGCGGGTGAGAGAGGAGAGAGAGGAAGAAAAGAAATAGAGAGAGAGAGAAAGAGAGAGATAGATGTAGATAAAACGGAAACAGGAAAATACAGAAAGAAAGAAAGAGTAAGGGAGAAAGAGACAGACAGAATGGATGAGATTTAATTTATAGTCCCAGAATTTGGTCACTTTTCACCACTCTTACATCCAACTACTTACCGCATTAATTATCACGAAAATAAACAGTACGCAAAGAGACAAAGACAGACTGAAATAGATATTGGTAGAGGGAGATATACACACAGAAATATACAGGGAAAGAGAGAGAGAGAGAGAGAGAGAGAGACTCAGACATACAGAAAAAAGAAACAGTGAAAGAAAAGAGAGAGTGAGAGATAGAGAAAGAGATAGAGATAGAGAGAGAGAGAGGGAGAAAGGAATATACCGATAAATAGACAAGCGGACAGAAAGAATAACTTCTTTTGGAAGTTTTTTTTTTTTTTACTTTACTCCCAGACAGAAGAGTCTTCCTACTTGAATTTTCAAGTCTTTACTACTGCTTTCATTTACAAATTCCTGTCATAATGAAATTCCGTGACAGTATTATTAAATGAGCAGACCATGATTGATGAGAGAAGTGAGGGACATAGTTATAGAAGAAGAGAAAGACATTGAGGCATACAGAAAGAAAGTGACGAGAGAAAGAGGCATAGAGAAACAAACAGATAGAAAGAAAGTGAGAGAAAAAGAATGAGAGACAACCATAATAAAACAGATAGTGAGTGAACTGAGTCTCACAGAAAAAGATATACAAAAAAGTACAAAAAAATGGGAGAGAAAGAATGAGATAAAGAGGAAGAGAGAGAGAGAGAGAGAGAAATAACGGACAACTTTATTATGTCCTGGGTACAGGTTCCCTTAAGTGCAACAACAACAACAAATACAAATATATAAAACAGCTCTCTGAGTAGTACAACAATTATTCCAAGTGGAATGACTAAAGTAGAACAACATAATACCAAATAAAACGAAATTAAAAAAATTATTTATTTATTTATTTTTATATTTTTATTTATTTATTTTTATTTGTTTAGAGAGAGAGAAAGAGTGGGTGCGATACAGGCAAAGTACAGAAAAGGGAACAGGTAGAGTAAGAAATGCAATAAAGAGAGAAACAGACAGTCAGAGAAAAAGAGAAAATAAACAATTAGACAGATACAAAAAGTCAGTTGTGAAGAAAGAGTGAGAGAAAAAGTGAGGGAGAAACAGACAAAGACAGTCACAGATAACAAGTAGAGGAAACAGACTGACGTATACAAAAAGAGACAGATAGAGAAAGAAAGACAATAAAGAGACAGAGAGATTGGCAACGAAAAAGAAAAAAATGAGAGAGTGAGATAGTCAAACAGATACAGGCAAAGACAGATAGAAAGAGATAGAGGGAGGAGAGAGAAAGAGAAGGAAAATGGAAAGAAAGAGAAAGAGAGTAAGAGAGAGAGTTTTAAAGTGTGAGAGTATATTCCGTAACTCACAAAATGCTAACAGCAGCAATCACACAATAAAATATCCATGTGACATAGTCTAGATAGACAGAATAGGCAAATGTAATACGTATTACAGAGAATTATTTCGGGAGAGTGTTCCAAAAAGCGGCGTCGCCCGTGCCGATCTACGCCCTTTCACTTTTCCTAGATCGTGGCGCGTTTCATACTTGATTGAGATAAGTCATATTACATTGGCATAAATTGGCTTTACTTGCATTACTTGTCACTAGGTTACATCATACTTTTACATACACAGTTTGAAGGCAAAGCTTGAGAATCATGACAAGATTGAAAAGCACAAATAAAATTTATTATGAATATATTTTACATCATAACAACCAACAAGGCATAAATAAAATACTACAATATATACAATTTTAAGATATATATACATGATCACTTTTTGCAGGGGATTTGAGAACAATCGCCGGCCGCTGATATTTCAGCGATTTCTTTCAGCACGCCTCCGGATCTGAAAATAATTATATAAAATGTTAATTATTTAAAGCATAAAATTGACATAAGAGGCGAATCATTATCAATCGACAATGCCCACAAATAAAGATTTTATTTAGCATAATCAAAACGGTAAAAACTGGAAGTGACGCACGCAATTAGTCGCGGTTATTTGTTTCTCTGATTAATTGAAATTAAACGTTTCGAAATTTCCACACAACCCAAATCAGGGGCGCACGCGATCTTATATCGAGTGAACGCGTTACGGACTTTTATCATCATCATTAAATCACTTCGTTTTCGTTTTTCTCATCGTGCCAACAAACGCGATCCGAGTGAACCCAATCGGGATAACTGTGCCACGTAAGATGATGGGGAGGAAATAAATTGTCTTTTCCACAATAGGATACCGCTCAACACAATTTTGTTTAAATAAATAAAATTATTCAACCAGTTATATAAATATTTGTGATAAGGTAGTCAAAAAACCCTATAATTTTTTCTTATTTTAATAAACTCAGTATACACAGTAATTCTCCTTTCAGAAAAGTGGGCAATCATCAGCAAACCTTATTTGTCCAGACCTTGCTCTTTCGGTCGATCACGCTACATTCCAAAAATTGCGAAACGTAACAGAAAAGTAAAGGGATATTTTCAAAGCTAGGATTTAGAAGGAGCTACGACCCAACACTGTAGATTTCAAACTTGATCATTAATTTCCATCAGCGTTAAACCCAGAAAGGTGAATTTTGGATTTATATAAGCTCAAATCTGCATATAAAGCCGGCAGTATTCGAGAATCGCTTTCTTCGGGTGTTGGTAGTCCGGGGTAAGACCTAGGTCTTATCCGCCCAGCAGGTTGGGCTCCGGGTGGTGTCAGCAGCTGGGCTAATCCAGCACCAATCACATGCAGTTCCAAGAAAAAAACTCATTCACGCCATCACTCATTCTTAAATACATTTTCTCCTATTTAATTACGTTGGGCTTTGGTTCAAAAGTAAGTTTCCGTGTGTCTAGTTCATGGTTTTAATTCCATTTTTACCGTCAGAGAGCCGGATCTCGGTAGATAAGTCCGGAGGTTGGGACGAAGGCCTTAACCGCCTCATTAAGTGAGAAAATGCCATATTCTATGAGTGCTATTGGAAGAAAAATTGAATCAACCCGTTGAAAAAAGTATTATTATTACAAAACATCACGTAAATTTGTGCTATTAATAAAAACTCAGAGGTTCACCAAAATTCTATGCAGCATAAGTACCCAAGCATTTGGACTACTAAATGAAAATTCAACACATGGTACACAGTGGGGTTCCCCGTAAATGGAACACGTTCTTTGTGTATTTTCAGTTAAATTTTATAAGGTACTTTTTTTTTTTCAATTAATTCAATTAAGGTTCAGATAAAAAAGTTAGTGTAACAACCGGGATTCGAACCCACGACCGTCGGCTAAATACGCCGCTGCTCTACCACTTGAGCTATCGTGAATTCGATCCACTCGGACACTAAATTCCCATTTCAACCCCACCTTTTGAATTTTCCCTACTTTTTGCCATTCAATTAATTGAAAAGAGTTTATTTGGTCAAGAGGACCACAAACCTAATAAAATTTGTAAGGTAGGTTATTGTATCTGCCCAACTCAAACTATGCTGCCAATTTCATGGCACTTTAACTATTAAATTTTATTGTCTGCGTGATTATGAACCTTTCCGAAAGTTTTGGCCTGTCAAAACATGGGTTTTAGTTTAACTACCATAATTATTATTGAAAATTGAAGTTGGCGAGAAGACGAACGCTTCAGCCAGGCTAAAATGACTAGTTTAGGCAGATCAAGATGATCACAAACGATATAAAGTAGGATATCACCTTTGTCCAGCTTGTACAAAACTTCCAGCGTATTTTCCAAATAAACCAAAATTACTGCGTGTTTCTGCTTGATTGCAATTATAAGGCCAATCTGAGGTTCAGTCACAATTAGCTCGGATTAGCTGGATTTTTTATGAATGATAACCTCCACATTTTTATTGTGTTCTTTTTAAAAAACTGCTTGAATCCCAATTGACTGATATTTTGCTTTATTTTGCTGTTTGTTATGTAAATAAAATCTGCAAAGCTGATGGGTTTTTTCATATTTCTACCATTTGAGATGTGGGGCCTTTGCAAAAATGAACCTTGGTAAAATGTTGGTATCTAAACCACAAATCGGGAAACAATTCCTTTTAAAAGTTTTGTATAATGGATAACTAACTGTAAGTGACTGTTATCTGCTGACTATCCTGAATAACACCTGCGTCTAAGGAGCAGTAATAGGATGTTCATGACCAATGGTTGAAATGAGTGTGATGATATATATTTTCCACGTGTACGTCAAGGAGCGAGTATTTTTCCTAAGACACCAAAAGGGAAACCCAAAATGTTTGGAATAGAAACTCGAAACGGCCGAATTCCGTTAAAACGGAGGCGCGGTCCTGGGCAAAGGGAACTCGTCGGATGGCAATGACCGTCGACTCGCCGTGTTTCTCACTTTCTCCCCTGAGGCGCATTCCCAACAACTCTCACGAGACGCACACACGCGCGCCGACAAAGCACGCGGCCACAGACGCGCATGGTACCTGGCACAGGTGCTTGTGACCTATGCCTTTCAACCTAAAGATCAATCCGGCCAGACGGTTCCCGAGAGGACACAATTGGCCGACTTTTATGCCCATGGGAACCTCTCGGCATAGCTGACTAAACTCCGTAAGAGCCACCTTATTTACTTTCACCGCTAACCGAATTCATCGACCAATTTACACCAAACAAAACGTTCTAGTTGACAAAGTCGAAAAATAAATCACAGAATGAAAGTACACAAAAACACTACAAAATACCCAAACAACTTGGAAAATCTTGCGAAAATTGGGAAAAGTTATACATTCGACATTGACCTTCTAATAACTGCGAGACGTCGATTCCGGCAGGAAGCAATAAACGGCATAAAGAACTTTTATAGTTCCTTAATAGTCGATCCGTGGTAGTTTTCTTGCCGTTTCAACCCATTGACCCCAGCAGACAACAGACATCGACTTTCTCCTTTTAGCTGATAATTTTAAACGGTCCCCTCTGCGATTTTGTATCCTCTTCGGCGAAGATAACAGGCCATCAACGCTTCACGTCTTTTTTACCCCCGGGGCGCGTTGAATACGCAATTTCTAAATTTTAAAAACGTTTACTCTTTCCATTTCTAAATTGTGCTTAACGCCATTGATTTTTTTGATATTTTTCTCCGGAGTCAAGTTAATTTTTAACCTCCTAAAATAAGTCTAATTGATACAATCCCGTATCGAGGAGGGCTTTCGGATATCTCCGCACGAGTATGTTCATATTTGAACTTTTCTTTGCCCAAATTTGACCATTGTTTAAATATGCAGAGTGGCCGAGCTGCGGATGGCGCCGACTTGGCCGTGGTGCCTTTTTTTCAACAAAATTTATCACATCGCTGGCTCATTAGTCGAACCAGTCCAGTTCATGCGAACCTACCACAAATGTTTAACCCAATTAGAACTTTTTCCAACTTTCAAAAGTAGAATTCCCTTTTCAGAATAATGACAAAAAGACAGAGCTTAAAGCGGAACTTCTAAACACCCAGACTGGCCGTAAAAATAGTTGAGTCAAAGTTTCTAATCGAGTCCCAATGTCACGAGAAAAGTTCGTGCACTTTTTCATTTGTTGTTGTCTTAATTCATTAATCAACATTTCTATTTACATGATTAGGTATTTTCACCACGTAGGAGGAGAATACTGCGATCGGTGATGAAACAGTAAGTAGGCGCACCGTCCAAAAGTGATTCAGAAAGTTTAAAAACTATTCACCAAAAACAAAGCGTCACATTTTGTTGGTAAATATTCGGTTTTCGGTTCAATCGGACGTACCACTTTCAGAATTTTTTAATCTACCGCTTCCTTCATATTAAGAAACTTTTTATTTGGACTTGTCAGGTTCCATTGTTGAGTAAGGATCCAGCAATTGAATATTTCCTTTGAGGATACAAGCGCTCTACGCAAGGATTACTACATCGTCGGCCAAAATAAAAAGTTTATGATTGTGCTTCCTATTTTCATACCATATTCCAATACCTGGGGGAAAGGGCGTCCAAGAACAAAGCAAAAAATAAACAACTTAAGAGGCAGCCCTGTGTAACGATATATTCCAGTTTAAAAACTTCAAACAATCCAGCCTGGCCTTTTACTCTTCAACCCGTGACATCAAAAATTGACGTTGATATCTTCATAACTGTAAGGTAAAGGTCCAGGGTTCGAATCTAGCGGCCCTGCGTTCAAATCCGACATTCTTACAAATGGGCTATTTTCGTAAAACACCGGCACCCCGAGGGTTGATATTCCTATTCCTAGATTGATTAATTTTAGACAAAAGCCTCCTGTCAACACTGTCTTGATTGCTCCTAATAAACATAACCATCTTGGTGGTAAAACTGGTATGGGTTAATAGATACTTCAGCTTTAATTTGTAAATATTATCTCCTATTCCTAAATGTAATTTTATCTTACTGGTTCCTAAAAATATACGACTACTGGGTTTGAAGGATTTGGATTTATATTTCAAATCCGTACATGCACGTACATACATACAAACATGTGCAGAGTTGAGCCGATTACCCTCGCAGTACAGCGGCAATTCCAGGTTATGTAACTTACAATATCCAAAATCACCCAACCATGGTGTTGGCAGTCCGGGGTCAGACATAAGTCTTATCCGTCAAGCCACCTAGGTTGAGCTCCGGGTTTTGTTAACATTGAGGTCAATTCAGCATCCAACGCATGTACAGCCTATTTATACATCATTCACTTAATTGGCGTTACTGTACTCAATATTCCTCTTACATCTAGTACTTATATATCTAACCTAATTGTGGGTTGATAAGGTACTCAATATGCCGCCATAGACCTTCTCACATTACACATTCACGCTAATAAATACATTCACTCTCAACACATGCTAAGCAGACAAAACTACCATTACTGTATACAATAAAACAAATGGTGTATCAGTGGCCGCAAAGGTTTAGCCGTTGACACGTATTCATCATTATAAAGTAAAGGTCATGCATCGAACCCGATGTTTACAAATGTTGTTTTTTTTAAATATCGGCACCCCGAGTTTATTTGACCTCTGCTGTTGCGAACCCCGTAAAAACATTCCTCAAAAAATCGGAAGAGGAGACCCGCTGTTTGAGACACCGTCGCTGCTCAAAAACAATTCTCGTATCTGGTGACAATCCTACACGCATTCTATATAGAGCCAAGTATTGCACACTTCAATTAAGTTCACATAGAGCAATCAGTACAAACAAAACACGATTTCAATTTAAATTTGTTACACAGTTTCAACAAAGGTAGGGAACTAGATTGATTTGAGAAATTCGAAATAAAAAATCTAAAATTAAACATGGAGATAAATGCATAAATAATACAATAGATTTTAATCTTTAAAATTATTTTCTTACAGTATTTATTAGAATAATATTTAGTTTTGTTGTAATTCAGGTTTTTCTCAATTCAAAATTGAGCGGCATTAAAAACCAGCTTCTCATTGGAACGTCGCGTGGGCGGGTTCACTCTTACAATTCATGTAGGCAGAGTAACTCCTTCAACCTGTGATAATGAGCGTTTATTACTTGAAATCCGTGTCGTAATAAACATAAACACTGTAAGTAGAACCACCATTTACAAAAAGTATAATTTCAAGTTCATTAGAAACCAATACGATTTCTAGACGTCAAAAAGTATTAACGGCCATATGTACTATTCCAAAATGTTTAAATATTCATAACAATCTGTACGATAATTTAAAGCCTATTCATCGAAGGACTAAAAGTGAAACTTCAATTCGTGTTGCTCCTTTTTTTTCAATAGACGGTCAATTTAGAAAGCAATCCAAACTTGTCAAATAGATTTATAACTGTCAATGAGATTTGTCTCATTCGGGATATTTTAAATGAATACAATTATTGACCAAATCCTAGGCTTTCTCTAACGGCAAGTCACTAATGTTTAACGATTTAGTGAATCTTATCTTTCTAAAGTGTTGTTGGCTACATGTAGGACTTACGGTGATATAGTTTTTTTTCGAATAGAAAGAAAAAATATTTATTTATACCCTTTACATGAAATTTACACATTACAAATTGATCTTAACGGTATACTAACACGAAACACTGATACTACGGCCACATCCGCACCCGGAGGACAAGTGTTATGAGAAGCGTGAAGAACGCTGGTACTAAGTTTGCTATCGGGCTCAGGTGAGGAAGTCATGGGGCCATCGTCGTTTAACATCGGCGACATAGAGGGTTCTTGGGATGGAAAGAAGTGGATAGGAATGGAGCGGTAGGGTTAGGATGGGTTGAAAGATTGGATTGAAACTTGAGGAAGCTGAAACAAATCAATTCTTTGACTAAGGGAGCATTAAGTTCATTGTGGGTAGAGAGATTGGAGGAAACATAGTAAGGCGTTTGGAAAATTCTTTTCAGGACTTTTGATTGGAATGCTTGGATTAGGTGGATGTTAGGTGGCTTGGTGGTACCCCACAGTTCAACTACGTACGCCCAAATAGGCCGAAGTAATGTTTTGTACAGAGTTATATCTGATTTCAGCTCTACAAAATTCCGTTGTTGTCCAAATCGTCGATTTCGTTTTTGTCGCTTGAATCTTGAGGATTCTATGTCAGCCTACTGTCTAAGTTTTTCAATTAATTAAGGTTTTAGTTGAGACAAAAAAGCCAGTGTCACGAGCGGGATTCGAACCCACGATCTTCGGCTAGACACGCCGCTGCTCTACTACTTGAGCTATCGTGAATTCGATCCACTCGGACACTAACTTCCCATCTCAACCCCACCTTTTGAATTTTACCTCCTTTTTGCCATTTTTCAAATGTCGTGTAATCTATTTGATTCTCGGCGAAAAATGAAATGGCCACGGAGAGCTTTAGTGAAGGTATACCTCATTTAAACTTATTAAATTTATTAGTTTTCGTGGTCCGCTTGACCAATTAATATCTTTCAATTAATTAAGGTTTTTAGTTGAGATAAAAAAGTCAGTGTCATGAGCGGGATGGCAAAAAGGAGGGACAATTCAAAAGGTGGGGTTGAGATGGGAAGTTAGTTTCCGAGTGGATCGAGGTCACAGTAGCTCAAGTGGTAGAGCAGCGGCATTGATCCGAAACGTGGGTTCGAATCCCGCTCGTGACACTGACTTTTTTATCTCAACTAAAAACCTTAATTAATTAAAAGATATTAAATGGTCAAGCGGACCACGAAAACTAGTGAATTATTAAAAACCTTTAAAAGCAATACAAGGTGCAACAAATAATTCATATTTCAGATTCACAATAGACGAGTATTGGAAATTAGTTATGCTTTCAAATGTGTTAAACAAAAATAAATTCCGGCCATAAGTAAAATAGAACTTATCTGAAGTATTGTAATCCCCCAATTTATCTCAAAACCTGTGTATTGTTTTATACAGCTTTGTTATGGTTTTCTTCTATTATATTGTCACAGTTCAAACTAGAAATTTTATTTCAAATAATAACTATTTACCTTTTAATTAACGTTTTCAAGTAAGGTTGATAGTTCTTCTCGGCCAAATAGATTCCTTCGCAAATTTCCTTCATCTGGCAATGTGTGATGTTCACTCCTGCTGGTGGGACCGGGAGGCGAATCCCTTCAAGAGATCGGTAATTGGTCTTCGTGGATGCTGGAGGCCTGGTAAATGACAATTAAACAACTATTACAAGAAAAACACTCAAAGACATTACAAAAATAAGATGTTTTTTAGAGTCTTATAGACAGACGAATGGAATCCGAATACATACAGGTCGTTCCGTGAACCGACGTCATTACTTCAGAAGGTTATCCTACTTTTCAAATTTGAGTAAAAAAGTCCCTTTTGTCTAAAGTCTGACTGTCAATATGCACTCTATAATTTCACATTTTAAGCTACTTCAACATTTCACAACTTCATTCTATAAAGTCCAATGTATCTCATAAAACGTTCATTATACTGTAAATTTGATTGCATCGAAGAATAGGGCATTAACATCCCGATGAGACACATTTGTGTCTTTATCGTAACTTTAAGCAAACAAAACAGAAAATCACTTAGATGATAAACTTTTACGCTTTCCAAAATTCTTATCTCAAGTTTAATTAAGATTTTCTGCATTTACAGAAAGGATGCCCCTAGTAATGAGCATTACACGCACGCACTTAATTTTGTAAATGTCAGTTATTACCAATGTAAAAGTAACGTTTAATTACTAAAAGTTTATTTTTTTTAAACACCGATGAACTCCGACATATGGGGAACTATTAGAAATTAAAATCTTCCCATGCTCTCTACACGTTGAGTGACCGTGACCCTCGATCATCCATGTCACACATTGCGATTCGTGTTTACTGGTTGGTTTTCTTACCAATTAGAATAAACGGGATTAATAGCTCGAACTGTAGCTCAAGTGGTAGATCATCAAAATATTTATCCATGGGTAATCACGTCTGTTTGACAAATTGTGTATAACAATTTCAAGGAGGACTAAGAATTCAGAACTAAGAAAAATAAATGCATGCCCCAAGGGAACATGCCAGGTCCAATACTTTACTTGCAGTATTCCAGTGATTTTCTGAAAATGGATGACGAAAGTTTTCAGTTGATACAGTGTTGATATCAGTAAGGCCGAACTTCAACCTCGCTCCCAAAATCCTTCAAAAGGCGGGTAAAATACTAATTAAATGGGGAAAATGGAGAAACAGGTATAAACTTTTACAATTAAAAAATTGGACCATATTCCGTCTCTCGATGGAGCCATTATAGCATACAGCGATAAAGCTAAATAACTGGGAATGACCAACTGAGATGGAACGAATGCGTGAAGAAAAAGGGACAGAAATAGGTTCAAAGTATCTACTAGCAGATAGGAAACAGGTACAACCTTACAATACAAAATAAAACCCTAACATACAATCAAGTCTTAAACCCTATATGGAGTCAACTATGGGGTTATACCTAACACTGAAACGTAAAATCTTATTAACATGGACAAGCACGTTGGTACTTAAAGAATAGCGAGCTTAAGATCCTCAGGTGATCAAGACTCCTACGGCGGAAATTCTAAGTTTTGATGCCAAACACCAGTCTCAACTACCGAAGCACTGATAAAAGGTTGAAAAGCCATTTGAAATAATGTAAAAAAATAAATAATTTAATGGTTAAAAGTGCAAATGTTATTGTACCAAAGGGGTTAGAAGAATCTGTACATATTGGCTTAGTAGATGTATCGTTATAAATTATTAGAGTGGGTATGAAGACGAGTTCTTGAACCTGGATCAACATACGTCCATACTAGGCACAACATGACACCTACTGTCAACCCCCATGGCATGAAACGCAGTAGTTTTCACGGTTTTTCTAGTTCCTACTTAGTTCTTTTCCAAACTGAGTTGTGGCCTCTGACCCGAACAAGGTAAAATGACACCGGAGAAATCAACACATTCACCCAAAACGACTACGGTTTGGTCAGATACTCTTTTGGCAAATGCCAGGGTTTTTTTTTTTTTTTTTTTTTTGGTTTTTTTAACGAGGGTTCGCAACAGCAGAGGTCATATAAACCCTCAGGGTGCCGGTGTTTTTGAAAAAAAAGCCCATTTGTAAGTATGTCGGGTTCGAATGCAGGGCCGCTGGATTCGAACCCGGGACTTTTACTTTACAGTGATGAGCGCCGTGTCAAAGACTAAACCTTGCGGTCACCGACGCCCTCCAATGCCAGGTGTTCCTTCCTGTTTTGTTGGTAGGCCTTTTTTTTCTTGCTGATCTACCATAAGTTCCGATAGAATACAGACGATTTTTGATTGTTTATTGAGTAAATTAATCAAGGATATGCCATTCGTACCTGATTTTGAAGGAAAAACCTATGTTACTGGAGGTGTACTAGCCAGTGGGTATAAGCAATTTTTTGCTACCTTAGATGCTAATTATATGCGCACAAATACTTTACAATACATTCTTTAATCAAATATATAATTACAGTGATGCTTAAATTAAGCATAAAGTCAGATAGAAAAACGGAACCACTGTCTCTTCATTTACCGAAACCCTTTGAAAGTCTGTCAATAGTCTAATGTCATTTTTTCCCCATTAAATCTAGCTCAGCACCATCGACAAATTGGTTGTCCTTAGCGACCATAAAACATTTTGTAAATAGTATGTTTAGTGCCTATTAGGACTTTCTATAAATTGAGACTGTTAACAGGTTCAATATGCTAGTGAGCCACTCGATGATAGTTTTGAGACGGAAGAGAGTGAAGAAACTGACTGATTGCTCCCATTAAACAGTTAATAATTACTATTATTAACTATATCATTGTAGTTTTAAATGAAAGACTAGTTTTTTAACTAACCTCCTTCGGCAAGTTTATAGTCGGCTAACTTTCGTCAATCTATGTTTTACATGGTACCTTCAAAAGAAATATTGATGTACGGAATAATTTCACTTGAAGATATCCTTAGGCAATTTATATATAAAAAAAGGATTATCTTTTTGTATTGATATCAAGTGGTAAAGAAGATTACTAAGTTCGGTTGAGCTGTTTAGAAACGTTTCTTTTACGAAAGTTTTAAATCCACTAAGAAGAAACTCATTTTTATTTGCTTTCCCACATGATAATTGTGCGCTGGAAAGCTCACGATTAGCGCTCTCCCTCCTCTCGGTGGGACGGCGGTCGTGACAAAATTGTTGAGATTTATCCGAACTGCCTGGTTGTCCTGGAACCAAAGAAACAGGGTCCATGATTTCTTGCCTCTTCTTGTTTACTGTTAACAGCTATAACATCCTCACTTGCACAGAAGGTGACAACCTTTTCACTTGTATTTTCTATGAACCTTCTTTTTTCTAATATAAAGTTTTATACTGGTGCAAGCTCAAAGTTTATAATCTATTGAATAGTTTTGGCTTATTCAAGCCTGCATAATTGTGGTTTTTTAATAAAGTCCTATTATTGAAACTGTTTTAAATATTCTTCTTTAAAATCTCACACAATACTGTTTCAATGCAGTTCTTGTTAAAAATACTGTTTAATGCAGCAGTCGAAGAAAGCTTCTTCTTTTGTAGACGAACAAGAAATGATTATTCACGAAATCGTCCATGAAAACTAACTTTCAATTCAAACTGTTACATAATTCAACGTCAACTCTTTTGATTCTAATGAAGAGAAATTTCAAGTTGCAAGTGAACTGAACGATTGAGCTCAAATCTGCACACGCACGTACGTGCATACTCGAGTGTAAAGAGTCGAACCAATCACCGGTAATAAATTATTTAAAATAAATTGGAGCTGTTAGTTAGGGGTCAGACCTCGGTCTTATCCGTCACCGAAGTTGGGCTCCAGGAGCTAACATAGGCCATTTCAGCCTCCAACGCAATCGGCTCATAAATCCAAACCTATTCACACTCATTTTTAATTTGTTTTTCCCCATCCACCTCCCCGCCGTACCTAAGGGAGACCCCATACCGGCGGACCACGGCCACTAAACTAATTCAAATGGGATGCAAGTTTAGGGGATCTTATTGTGCTTAACGTCTTCCTTCGACCTTGCCCTGAAAGGGATGACCCAAGGAAGAAGGGAATTTTTTTTCTTATTATTAATTTATCTAATCTAATAGGTCTCCCCCTTGCTGGTTAATCCTTTTGAATAGACTTTCTAATAAATACAATATTTTAATAAATAAATAACAATTATGGGTACAAGCCCGGAATTAAAAGTTCACGGAAACGCTAAGATCTAACAAGTAACTTATCATAGGAAGAAAAGGAAGAAAAAAGAAAGTAAGAAAAAATTAATCAGGTACTTTATCCACTATAGCTCGGCTAACAGACTTCAGGACCTCAAACGTCCTCTTTTCTTTAACCAGTTCGTTGAGGGTCGGTGGCCAAGTGTGGCGGAAGAGGAGCTTTAGTGGTTCCCTCACACTCTCAAGGAGGGGGTAGTTGAATAATCTGTGTTGGACACTGTCATCAACCCCCCAGTCGGGACACAGTGGACTGTTAGCTTTACGGAATCGGTGCAAGTAGGCGTTGAAATTTCCGTGACCTGTCATTATTTGTGTGATCCAGAAATCTGGTTGAAACCACTTTGCTCTTGCTCGGTCCTCAATACTGGGTAGAAACTTGTGGTTAACCTTCCCTTGGTGCTTCTGTCTCATCTTTCCTGCCATAAGTTGTCTATCCAAACTGTAAGGATCTCCCGGATCTGCTTTCTAGGTGCAGTTCGTTCGCCTTTCCCTATCTGGCGCATCCAAATTTACCATGTTGGCTCCTTTCCATCTCTTAGCTGCCGGATTGCAATTCTACTGTGGAGGACAATGTCTATTGGTGCAGCGGAAGCAAGGACTTGGAGGGCGTGAGTAGGGGCTGTCCTATAAGCTTTAGTCGTTCTCAGGAGAGCTATTCATTGACTCTGCTCGAGGATGCTTCTACTCCTGCTTTGCAATTTTGTTCCCCAAGCTGCTCCTCCGTACATGGCAATGGGGAGGTATACGCTTTTGTAAGTGATGGAGAGCGCCCTTGGACTCAGCCCCCATTTTGATTTCGAGATCGAACTTAGTTTCTAGAAGATGCATCTCGTCATTTCTCTGATCTTGATGGCATGGTTTGTAGGACTTAGCCTTTCTCCCAAAACTATGCCTAGGTACTTTACCTTTTCGCTCAGC